CCCCCTGACATTAAAGCTGGATCCGCCCCTGGATGAACTAAAATGCTTTCCAAAAATCAGAAAATGATGATGAATGGATTCTAGTCCGACCGAAACATAGCTAATAAATGTGGTTAATGATTTTTGAATGCCATAATGGGAAACTATAAGTTTCCGATTTTAGCCAGACCAATGAATCGAAAAAATGATCGGGAATTTTCAACTTGTCCATGTTTTTATGTAAACAAAAATTCCGAAAAATGCAACGAATTATTCCAATGTGCTGGCGATGACATGGGTTGATAGAGGAACAAGCTTTAATCCAATCCAATTTTTATTGTATTTTAATATTTTTATACGCATTGTATAATTCGCCATGAATTTTTTCCGTTTAATAAATTTGGATTGAAGTTTGAATTTGATTTTGAATTTGAATTTAAAATTCAATGAAATCGATTTGATGATCAATACTACCGGTACCCAGTACACACAATGAAAGGCAAAACCGCAATTAAAAAAAGGAGCATGTAGGCAAAAAATTATATTCTTTTAAACACTCTTAAATGCACTGGACATTTTTTGACTAATAAAATGTATCTTGGAAAATTGTCTATTCGGCATTAAAGTCGTCATAAATGTCCACTTTGCCAACTAATATAACAATAAATAAAAATATAAAAAAATTTAAAAAAGAATAATTTCTCAAAGATTTAGTTTTTCAAAAAGTTACACACTCTGAGTTCGAACTCGTTTTACTCTCTTGCTGTTGCCGCTATCCAATTTGAGCCCGGAATAGTTTTTACAGCTACTTCTTTGGGCTTCTCGGGGGTTTTGAAACTTTTGAAATATCTTCACACGGAACAAAGTTACGTCCAAAAGAGTGGAGATCCGCGCAAATGGAGCAGTCGAACGGTTACCAACATTCAGGGTTAATTATCTTTCAAACCGTTCCCAATGTTTTTTTTCCAATATTTTTTCGAAAGGGCTGAACTCTAGCGAGTGTCCGTGGCAACCCAGGGCACTTATTTATTCTTGAAATATTACCAATACTTACGGAATTATGGGCAAATAAGTGTACAAACAATGTGGGTCGCAGTTTAAGTCTCTATATAGTCTCCAAAATCCATTTTATGAGAAACTACATACGAAAATCATGTTAATGTAAGTGGCGTTTTGGTCTAAATTCGACTCTTCAGTGAAAAGTTTGCACATTTGCGATTTCCAAAAAATTTACAAAATTTTTCAAAAAAAAGTTTTTACGGTCATTGGGCTTTTTACGAGTTTTTGAATTTCTGAGTAATGTTGATAACTGACCGAGTTACAGGGTAAAGAGTGGAAGTTGAGAGTTTTACGCTTGCCAATATTCAGAGCCTATTTCCTTCCAAACTGTTGCAAGTACAAATTTTCTTATAGACAGCAAATGTGTCGAGAATACACTTTGCAAATAATCTCATCTTTGGAGCAGCTCTTGTAGGTATTTCTCTGTTTCCCGTGTCCATCTGGTCTGAGTCCTTAACGGATCTTTACCTTTTAAAGTCCAATTTACTGGACCCAGTTTTAGACATACTTAACGATAAAAATAACTATGTAAACTTCTGTTCGTATGTCTCTCATAAGCTTTGAATGCCTTTCTGAGATGAATGTTAGCCAAAATAACGTTCAAAATCTCATCAGGATGGTTGTACCGATCGGAGGGCTTTGTTGCTTTGTGGGCTTATTGCATAGTCTTTTCACTTCCAGATCAAATTAACGGTGGCAAAAGCAAGTAGGCATGATAAATAGCCGTAATTAATTAGGATATCCAAATGACTGGGTTTGAATGCACTGAAATGGCTGCGATTTAATTAGCCGTAGTTAATTTAAAGCTCTCCACTTGTCTATCGAGTTTAAATTCAAACAGACAGACAAGTACGAGCTTTAACTACATCAGCCTGTAAATGTATAAAGTAACCGGAGTACGACTTTACGAGCTTTAAATTCCTGCAAGCACAAGCACAAGTCCCCATAATATTTTAATGGGGATTTTATTGCCTTGTGATCTTCCTGATAGCTTTCTACGTTTATGTTTATCGGGTAACGCTAATTTGCTCTTGTTTTCGTTCTAGATAAGCCTGGTAGAGCGATTTCGATAACAGAAGCGGGTCTACGACCTTTCGATTTATCGCCACTTGAACTTGAATTTTGCTTATTTGTTTGTTTGTTTATTGTCTGCTTTCAGTGTTGTTTTTATGATTTGCATTGAAAGGTCTAGCGCTCCGATTAATGTGTTTGGGTTTGCGCTTGAATCCGACGAATTCCGGTCGCAATTCCGTCGGCTAATCAGCGATTTATTGGAATTCAATTCTTTGGACAAATTGCACTGAAGAATGGTCGTAAATCACAACATCGCCATCATTTGATGGCGACAGACGGCAGACAATCTGTCGCCTGGTTGGGTCTGGTTACTCGAGACCTCAGATAACCATAAACGATCACGACTTGAGCCTTGATGGACAGAGCAGGAGTTTCGATTTAGCGAGGAAGTTCTTTCGATTTCTGGTGCTGAAAAAT